CTGAAACTGGTTTGGCTCAGTGAATAGAGCGTTGGTCTGCAGACTGAAAGATCCCAGGTTCGATTCCGGTCAAGGGCATGTACACTGGCTGCGGGCACATCCCTGGGGGGGGGGGGGGGGGGGGCAAGAGGCAGCTGGTCAATGTTTCTCTCTCATGGATGTTTCTGGCTCTCTCTCCCTCTCCTTTCCTCTCTGTAAAAAAAACAATAAAATATATTTAAAACATAAATAAATAAAAATAAAAGTTCTGGGTGGTCCTTTTATAGTACTTGGCTCAGTGGAAAGAGCATCAGCCGGTGGACTGTCAGCCTGATTCCAGTCAAGGGCAGAACCTCGGTGGGTAGGGCGAGTGCAGGAGGCAACCAAAGTGTGTCTTTCACATCAATGTGTCTCTGTCATATAGTTGTTTCTCTCGGTCTCTCCCCCTCCCTTCCACTCTCTCTAAAAATTGATGGGAAAATATCCTTGAGTGAGGGCTAACAACAATAAAAAAGTACTACGGTGATGAAGAAATGCAATAAGAGAAATGGGGGAAAAATGGGGTTTGACAGGAGCCTGAAAGAATCAAGTGGCCCATCTTGGGTTTTCCATAGACTATCCACTTAATTCACAGCCATTGTTTATCTTTATAATATACCCTGAAAGTTTACCTAAGGTGACCAGATTTTAACATTGGTAAAGCGGGACTGGGGGGGGGAGGGGGGATTCTGGTATATATGGAGAAACAAAAATTTTCATAGAACACAAAAATAGTATTGTAATATACTTTTTAAAATTTCAACATAAGTACAATTTACAAATATAATTAATAAATAAATAAAAATTATGTATAGTTGTGTCACTTTCAAGGCCGGAACTAGACTTTTTGCCACCACTATAAAATATACATATACGAGTACTGTCTGCTAAATTCAAGAAAATTTATGTATATTAACTGTTATGTATATGCTGCATTTTAGACTTCCTTATAGCAAAGAAGGTGGTTTTTTTTTTAAAGAAACAAACTCCACAAATCATGAAGCTGTGTAAAAGTTACATATACCTCCAAAGCTCTGAATTCAGGTCCCAGTTGCTGTCACAAAGGAGTGAATGGAATCGCACCCCACCCTTTTTCTAAAGTAAAAGTGCCTTAGCATGTGCTGCAGCTGTCACCACTACAGGAAGCTGGTTTCCAGAGGTTTCCACTGAGCGTCACAATAAAGAGTCCACGTGCTATGAAAAAAAAAAAAAAAAAAAAAAAAAAAAAAAAAAGAAAATTTATGTATTTATGAAATAAATAAATTACCTAAATTATCTGAATAGCTGATTTGTAATGGCATCACTTGTTTAATTAGCTTACTAGCACGCAGTACAATGTGTATCGTCTGAGAGACAGTTACAAAATGTTTTCGTGGTTGCCAATCCCCAAAAATGCCATTGTTCATTCTAAGGTGACCAGACGTCCTGATTTTTATTTTTTTATATATATTTTATTGATTTTATACAGAGAGGAAGGGAGAGAGATAGAGAGTTAGAAACATCGATGAGAGAGAGTCATCGATCAGCTGCCTCTTGCACACCCCCCCACTGGGGATATGCCCGCCACCAAGGTACATGCCCTTGACCGGAATCGAACCTGAGACCTTTCAGTCCCCAAGCCGATGCTCTATCCATTGAGCCAAACCAGTCCCAGCCAGATGTCCTGATTTTTAACAATTTGTCCCGTGTCCCGCTGCGTTTTAAGACAATCCCCATTTAAAATTTAAAATTCAAAATCGGGACTGTGTTAAAACGCCGCGGGACGCGGGACAAATTGTTAGAAATCGGGACTGTCCCGCCAAATGCGGGACGTCTGGTCACCTTAAAATGGTGGTCGAATTCTAACAACTGATCAACAATGCGAACTTTGATAAGCAGTTCTCGGTAATCAGTTCTCAACAATTATTTGTTATTGTTAAAGTTTAACATTATAAAATTAACAAAAATAATATAAAACTCATATCCTGGCTAAACAGCCACATGGCCGCGGAAAACCGTATATTCCCTCTCCGTTCTACCACCGCTCCCTAGCTTGTCGTGCATTCTTTCCAAAAATCAAGACTTTTTAAAACGACAAATTGTTAAAAATCGGGACTGTCCCACCAAAAGCGGGACTTTGGGTCACCTTCAGTTTATCGCCACTTACTTTAAAACTAGTAAAACACTCCACGGTGAAATTTGCATATATGTAAATGACGCAACACGGAAAAACTGATACTCAAAGGCAAATTCAAGCTGAAAAGGAGTAACTTCAAATTTCCTTCCACTTACCTGTTCTGAAAATGAGATCACTATTTACAGAATAACCTTTGATCATTTTTATTCAAACACCGAAACTAGCCACCGTCAGTGAAATAGGAGTGGCTTTTACCCGAGGTCTGTGCTACAAGGTTGCTGGCTAACTCTCTCTCACCCGATTTGGGTATCTCTCTCTCTTCCCAATTTTTTTTTGGGAGGCAACCAAAATTTTTGGTGGCCTTGTTTCGGCAAGGCTTACTTTAATTCAGGTTAAAAAAAGAAAAATAACTTGCTAGGCAGTGTTTTCTATGTTAGCCACTGTGCTAAGTATGGCCGTTCAATCCTGCTCCTCAATACCTGGGTTGTACTGCGTGTATATATATATATATTCTTTTTAACAAGAGTATTCCTTATAATATACTTATATGCATAGTTCAAGAACAGGGCCAATAGGTTAGTGAGGACCTAAAGGAGGAAGTGGGGAGAGGAGATTGGAGGGGTGTAAAGGGGGAGGGAGGGAGGGAGGGGGGGGGGAAGAAGAGTAAGCGGGAGATCTTTGTGATGCTATCAACAATAAAAATAGAGATCATAAACTGATGAACAAAAACAGATGCAGAGATATCAACAATAAAAATAGAGATCATAAACTGATGAACAAAAACAGATGCAGAGACAGAGAATCATCTTTCAGACCGTCAAACCTCAGAGGGAAGGTAGGGAAGGGTGGGGGTAAGAGGGAGAGATCAACCAAAGGACTTGTATGCATGCATGTAAGCCTAACCAATAGATGCAGACACCAGGGGGGTGAGGGCATGAGTTGGGGATGGGAGTGGGGGTGTGGATAAGGACACATATGTAATGCCTTAATCATTAAGAAATATATATATATATATATATATATATATATATATATATATATATATATATATGTATATTTATACTTTTCAAATTCATGCACCAGTGGGGTCCTTGGGCCTGGCCTATGGGATCCGGCCAAAACTGGCTCCTGACACCCCCAAGGGGTCCTGGATTGCAAGAGGGCACAGGCCAGGCAAAGAGCTCCCACTGGTGCATGATTTGGGGGGGGGGGGGGGGAGGAATGTGAGAGGTTGGCTAGCTAGGGAGGGACCTCAAGAGGGCTTCAGGGCATGTTCTGCCCTTCCAACTCAGTCTTTTCTCTTTTTTTAATTTTTTTTTAATTTGATTTTTTACAGAGAGGAAAGGAGAGAGATATTTAGAAACATTGATGAGAGAGAAACATCAATTCAGCTGCCTCTTGCACACTCCCCACTGAGGATGTGCTGGCAGCCAAGGTACATGCCCTTGACTGGAATTGAACACCGTACCCCTCTATCCACTGAACCAAACCGGCCAGGGCCTACTAGTCTGAGCTTCTGCCCACTAGTGGTCAGTGCATGTCATAGCGGTTGAGCGCCTTAGCATATCATTAGAATATTATGCTTTGATTGGTTGAACAGATGACTAGACTGACACTTAGCCTATTAAGCTTTTACTATATAGGCTGCTTCCCATGCAACTTATACCAAACTAGAGGCCCAGTGCATGAAATTCGTGCACAGGTAAGGTCCCTGGGCCTGGCTGGTGATCAGGGCTGATCTGTGGGGCAATCATTGGGGCAATTGAGGGCCCCCTCAAACACCCCTCCCCTCCCTCCAGTGGCAACAGCCTTGGTTGACATGGAGCATAGGGCCTACGGGGAGCTCCTGCATTGAGCATCTGCCCCCTGGTGGTCAGTAAATGTCAGTGACCAGTCATTCCTCTGGTTGTTCCACCATTTGATTTGCATATTAGGCTTTTATTATATAGGATAAGCCAAATTTGTTTAAATTTCCTTTTGTAAAGAGAGGAAATAAACCTTTTGAGGTGTCCTAAGGCCCTTCCAGGTCAAGACTCTGCATTTTGAATGTGGGAGGATGTCAAAATATCTAAAAAAGTTTGGACATTTGATTAAATAGGATCAATTAGTTATTATTTGATTAAATAGGATCAATAAGGATAATTAAGTATTAGGATCAATACTTAATTACCCACTTAACCAAAGTGATGATAAAAAATTTCAAAGACAAATTCAGTACCTTACAAAATTTTTAGCAAAACTTAGTTCTTTCACACGGACAAGTGTGGTGACTGGGGGCTGGGGGGATGGGGAACACAAGAGGGTATAGTGGGGTAAATGGTGATGGACGGAGACGGACTTGGGGTGGTACACATATAGTAAAGAGTACAGATGAAGTGCTATGGAATTGTGCACCTGAAGCCCGTATAGCTGTGTTAACCTGTATCACCCCAATAAATCCAAATTTTTTTTAAAGCGTAGCTCCTGCCTGACTGATGTGGCTCAGTGGTTGAGCGTCAACCTATGAACAAAAGGTCATAGTTCAATTTTCAATTCCCAGTCAGGGCACATGTCCAGGTTGTGGGCTCAATCCCCAATAGGGGGATGCAGGAGCCAGATGATCAGGGATTCTCTCTCGTCATTGATGTTTCTGTCTCCTTCCTCTCTGAAATCAATCAAGATATATTTTTTAAAAAAGGAAAAAGCAAAAAGTAGGCAAACCTACATTCAGTAAGAAATGTTTCAGTACTTTATCTTATTTGAAATGATCTAGACATTGAATGAATATTCATAATTTAATTTAGCTAGCAAACCTTTAAAGTTACCAAATTACCAGACTTGGAAAATCATTTTTAAGTACACCTATGTTGACATAAAAATGTCCAAATTTGTAGAAAACATGTATAAGTTTATTAGATGACCTGTACAGGTAGCACAGCTGTTTAGAGCATCATCCTGATACACAAAGGTTGTAGGTTTAATCCCCAGTCAGGGAATATACAAGAATCAACCAATGAGTGCATAAAGAAGTGAAACAAATCAATGTGTTGTTGTTGTTTTCTCTCCCTTCCTCTCTCTAAAATCAAAACAAAACTAATTTATTTTATCCAGAGGCAGGCAGGTTCAATGAGTGGCTGGCTGCATTCCAGTTCGTGGTGCCAGGCCTTCCTAGGCCTACAACATAACTTGCTTTAATTCTGAGGTATCCAAACACAATTTTTGACAAATACCCCTTAAGTTAAGCCCACTTGTTACTTGCAACCAAGAGACTCTAGGAACCATGCTGTCCCAACTTTGTACTTACTCCGTATCTAGAATATTGGTAGTCACAGTTGGGATTTAATCCATACCTGTTCTGGTCCTAAAGAACAGATGGAGTTTGTCTAATTCATAATAGTATCCAAAGAGTGGCTATAAATTCCATATTGAATATGGAGATTTGCTGAACCTAACCTTAAATGGATCACTAAAACTGTGTCTGATAACATCCTATATAATAAAGAGGTGACATGCAAATTGACCCTTATGACATCACAAGATGGCTACCTACAACCAAGCCGGCAGGGTGGTTAGTGAGGGACGACCAACCGACTGAACAGTAGACTGCATGCGGAGACCAGGCCGGCATGGGGGCTGTGAGAGGCAACCAGACCAGCAGCGGGGGCAGTTAGAGATGACCAGGCTGGCAGAAGGGGGCAGTTGGAGGCGACCAGGCCAGCAGGGGTGCAGTAAGGGGTGACCAGGCAGGCAGGCAGGTGAGCAATTAGGAGCCAGCAGTTGAGGATTGTGAGAGCGATATTCAACTGCCGGTTTAGGCCTTATCCCCAGGATCCTGGATTGGAGAGGGTGCAGGCTGGGCTGAGGGAACCTGCCCCAGGCATGAATTTCATGCACCAGGCCTCTATTAAAATAAATATAAAGGTCATGAACTAGTTTTAGAAAGCAAGCATATGGAAGCTCAATGTAAATTTCACTTCAACCCTTCACTCATGTAAGTATAGAGGAACACTTCTTGAATATGCCAGTTTACTTTTCCTCAAGGAAATATTTACTGCATATTACTAGTGATCATATTTTACATAAAAGGTTAAAGGTATACACTTTTCAAAAACATAAAATTGAAATCGAGGCATCTATCACATTTACATGCTGAAACAAAGTCCTGGGTTTCGGCATCCAGCAGTCAATCATGATTCTGGTCCAGGGCCACCAGTCCATGATTTCCAATAGTTGATGATCTTGTCAGTAACTGGAACAAAATCTTCTTTATATGTGACAATCGTTTCCACATAAAACCCTTTTGGGGGCTCAGTTACTTCATTCCTTAGGTCTAATTCATCACCTTTGAAAAATATGGAACACCTGAATTATTAACTTTTAAGGAGCAGTCACTAAAATTATTTAGTCAAGGCTTAGAAATAAAACAAAATAAGAATTACTTGACTCAGGGCTTTCATATGTTGCGACATCTTTTTGTTCTACTTCATCACCTTAAAAAAACAAAACACCTGAATTATTAACTCTAACTTAAATAGCAGTCATGTAAACTATTAGTAAAGTCTTATAAATAAAATAATTACCCCCACCCCTATCAGATTCCTGACACCATTTTCTTTCTGTAAAAAAGAAAAATAAATAAAACATGACCACTATAAACATGAAATGGTTACACTTTATACTTGGTTGGACATGTGTACTTTCTAGCCACTGATAATCCTCATCACCAAATATAATTTTCAGCAGTTTATACATCTCAGCTTTACCAAGATGAACTTAACATATCATATAATTACTCCTTTAAAATGTAACACTGCCCTAGCCTGTGTTGCTAAGTGGTTAGAGCCTCTGCCCAGCACGGAAGGGTCTGGGTTCAATTCCCAGTCAAGGGCATCTACTTAGGTTGTAGGTTTGACCACAGCCCTGGTGGCCCAGGGACGCAAGCAATTGATGTGTTTTTCTCTTTCTCTCTGTCCTCCCTTCCACTCTAAAAATCAATGGAAAAAATATCCTCAGGTGGATATTAAAAAATAATAATAAATAACCCTAGCCGGTTTGGCTCAGTGGTTAGAGTGTCAGCCTGTGGACTGAAGGGTCCCAGGTTCGATTCCAGTCAAGGACACATACCTTGGTTGCAGTTTCCCTGGCCACAGGAGGCAACCAATGAAGGTGTCTCCCTCACATTCATGGTTCTGTCTCTCCCTCTCCCTTCCACTCCTTCTAAAAATCAGTGAAAAGCCCAGCTGGTGTGGCTCACTGATTGAGCACTGACCAATGAACCAGGAGGTCACAGTTGGATTCCTCAGTGGCGGGTATAAAGGGAGGCAGCCAATCAATGATTCTCATCACTAATGTTTCTCTCCCTCTCCCTTCCTCTCTGAAATCAACAAAATATATATTTTAAATAAATTAAAAATGTCCTTGGGTGAGGATTAACAAAAAAATTTAAATTAAAATAATAATACAGTAAAATAAAATGTAACATTAAATGGTTTTCGGTACATTCAGATCTGTGGAACCTACACTACAATTAAATTTACAATATTTTCATCCACAAAAACAAACCCCATACTCTTTGCTATCACTCCTCCCATTCAACCACAAGCAACCAGATATCTATTAGCAGTACAGGTTTCCAAGCACTTTTTAAAGCTAAGGGATCTCCTTTCTGATAAGGGTATTTAAAAATATAGTTTTTATTGATTTCAGAGAGAAATGGAGAGATAGGAACATCAATAAGAATCATTGATAGGCTGCCCCCTACTGGGGATCGAGCCTGCAAACCAGGCACGAATCCTTGACCAGAATCCGAACCAGACCTTCAGTCCGCAGGCCTTTGCTCTGTCCATGGAGCCAAACCAGCTAGGGCTCCGGGAAGGCTTTCATATTCCTTGGCTGGTGTTAAGCGCTGTACTTGTCTGCTCGCCAAATGCGACAAAGGGCTAATGTTTCAGAAACACCAGTGTCCAGCGTCTGAAAACTCCATCTTTAACACTGACCCTTCAAATTCTTAGTATTACAGCACGGCCTCATTCAAAAATATAAGATTTGGTCATTTAAAATGTAGTTCCCGGCACACTCCATTACACCGAATGGCGCTAAACCACCGTTCCCAAGTTTTGTAGAATATTTAGGGCTGGCGCACGGCGAAGCTGCTCCCGTGACCCCTGCGTGCTCCCGTGACCCCTGCGTGAGCCCCACGGAGGGCTGCGTCTCCGGGGGGAAGGTCTCGCGGGAGAGCCGTACCTAGTGACTTGCTCTTTTTGCGGCCGGAGAAAATCAAGGCGCCCAGCACGGTCCAGGTGCCCAAAGCGTACACAGTGGACATGCGCCGGTACCAAGCCGAGGCCTGGTCCGGACGCATGGCGCCGCCAGAGGAAGGAAAGTCTTGTCCAAGGCTCGGGGGGGCGTAGGCGGGTCTTCCGGTCAGCGCGTCGCCGCCGCCGCCGCTTCCTCCAATGGGGAGCGGGCCCCGATGCATCCTGGGGCGTGTAGTCCGGCGAGCCGCGCCCGGGATTGGTCTCAGGTCCAGGAGCTTTGGTTCCGGTGCCTTGCGGCGAACGCACGACCTTGCATGCCCAGTGACCTACTACATGAGTATGTCTGAGCAGACTTCCCACTTGCAAATGGGTAACGTTTGCTTTAGCAGGCTTCAGGAGGTATTTCCAAAAGGTTAGTTTCATTCCTCCTCCAGCTCGGATTTGCGAGGATAGCGCCAGCCCCCCCCCCCTAACCACCCCCACTCCCAACCCCAAACTCATCTTCTCTGTTTACCTTTCTGGAACCCTCCCTGGGTGAGCGTTGAGTTCCCCCACGTCAAAGCTAATCCCTCCACTAGACTCTGGGCCTATTCTTTACTCCTTCCTCTGGAGCCTTTCCCATGAATTATATTCTAATGCTCCACCACCTCCCACAATTTTCATTTAGTTTTTACCCTTCCTCATACAAACCAGCCCGTATCTCAAAAACAAGCCATCTGCCCTGGCTGGGGTGGCTTTGTGGGGCGGCATCTCGTGCGCAGAAGGAAAGGTTGTCAGGTCCATTCCCTGTGGGTTCCCGGCCGACACCTGCCCGGTTTGTGGGGATTCCCCGGTGGGAGAGTGTAGGAGGCAGTGGATGGATGTTTCCCCCTCTCTCTTCCTCCCTCTCTCTAAAAATAAGTAAAAATCTTTTTTTTTTTTTTAAATATCCCTTTTAACTGTTCACCTTCGGCTTTTCTCTTATCCATGCAGTTCTTCAAAGCATCACCTCCCCCTGCTCCAACAGACCGAACAACTTGAGAGCAAAAGTTCTGTGCTTGCTGTAGTGGACACCCAGTAAATAGACTTACTCCTTTACAGCCTCATCAATCCATTTCTTTTTATTTTTTACTTAATATGTTTTATTGATTTTTTTACAAGGAGGAAGGGAGAGGGATAGAGTTAGAAACATCGATCAGCTGCCTCTTGCACACCTCCCACTGGGTATGTGCCCGCAACCAAGGTACATGCCCTTGACCGGAATCGAACCTGGGACCTTTCAGTCCGCAGGCCGATGCTCTATCCACTGAACCAAACTGGTTAGGGCTGATCAGTCCATTTCTAAAGCATCTGGTACCACTGGCCCCACCTGCTCCTCTTGTGGCTTCAAAAGCGTTTTCTTCCGTACCTCGGAATCCTCCGGGGCTCTTTCTACTTTGCCCATCCTAGAAACTGATATTTTGACTCACCCCAAATGTAACTCTAAAGCTAAAACTATAAACGGGGCGGGGAGGGGGGGGGAGTGGAGAAAAAAAATCTTTGCCGCCTTGGGATAGTTTTAAGTTTCTTAGCACAAAACATAAAACATGGGGAGGAGGGAGGAAGCTGGCGGCCAGCGGGTGTGGAATGAGAGAGAATGGGAGGAAGGGAGCCAGAGGGCGCGGGGGCGGGAGGGGGGGGGACAGTACGACGGCGCGGGAACCAGGGGGGCAGGCGTTCGGGCTCTCGGGGCCAAAAAACCTAAGGCACCCCCTTCCCCCGCCGCCCGCCCAGGCTCGCAGGCCGCCTCCATCCTCAAGGGCTTGCAAGGTCCTCCTTGGGCGGAGCCTGCCCAGCCCGCCACCTACCGGACCCACCGAGGCCTGAGCCCACGGCACTCCCGCCCCGGAATCCGGACACGCCAGCCCCGAAATCCGCTGGCCCCAAGGACAAAATATATTGTACAAAAGGAAAAAAAAAAATACTTCCTAGACAGAATCTTATGAGCAACTTGTTTTAGTAAAAGCCACAGTAAAATTTGCATATCTGTAAGTACAAGTGCAGGACAGGGGAAAAATTGATATTCAAGAGAAAAATCCAAGTGGAAAAAAAGGGGTCACTTAAAATTTTCTCCCAATTATATGTTGTGAAGATGAGTCTTCTATTTACAAGAATAAGCTGAACATTTTTAATTCAAGTGCTGAACCTAGCCACTGTCAGCGAAATAGGGGTTGCTTCTATTTAAGAGGTGCGTCACAAGGTTGACACGTACCTCTTTCTCTCCCAATTTTTTCTTTGGGAGGCAATCAAAGTTTTTGGTGGCCTTGTTTTGACAGGGCTTGGTGCTATATGGTTAAAAGATTGCTGAAACCACTTTGGCTCAGTGGATAGAGCATCAGACTGAAAGGTCCCGGTTCGGTTCCGGTCAAGGGCATGTACCTTGGTTGTGGGCACATCCCCAGCAGGGGGTGTGCAAGAGGCAGCTGATCGATGACTCTCATCGATGTTTCTAACTCTCTGTCCCTCTCTCTTCCTCTCTGTAAGAAATCAATAAAATATATTAAAAAAAAAAAAAAAAAGGAAAGATTATTTTAGTCTGTTTGGGTGGGTGGGTCACCATCCTGCAGGATGGACTGAAGGGTCTCAAAGTGATATTTGAGAGAGTCCTGTCCTCGTTGTCACAGGTTGAGGAAATAAGTAGGCATTCGAGCACTAAGAATATTTGTTGAAATGTTGCTTGCCTTTTTTATATAGTTGGATTGTCTCTGTAATTGGAATTGTAAGGCTTCTTAAATGTATATAAAAATTATTCGTCACCTATTTTGGATATTGTTTCATTTGTTTCTTAAACTTCACTTTTGATAATGCAAATGTCTGATTTCCCAATGTTCTTTTTCAAAATATGTACCTTTTCCCCCCCTTGATTAAGGTATTATATTATTAAGGTATTATCCCTCCATTGCCCCCAACACCCCCTATCCTGCCACTCATGCCCTCACCGCCCTGGTGTCTGCGTCTATTGGTTAGACTTATATGCGTGCACATAAGTCCTTTGGTTGATCTCTCCCTCTTACCCCCACCCTCCCCTACCTTCCCTCTGAGGTTTGATGGTCTGATCGATGATTTTCTGTCTCTAGATCAGTTTTTGTTCATCAGTTTATGTTGTCCTGTGTTTTCCTTGTTGACAGCATCACATATATCTACCCCCCCGACAACCCACCCCACCCCACCTTTTACACTCCTTTACTCTCCTCTTCCCAGCTCCTCCCCACTCCCTTCTTTAGGTCTTCACTAACCTACTGGCCCTGTCCATGAACTATGCACATATTATTATAAGGAATACTCGTTAAAAAATATAGAAAAATACATATACTATAATCTGGAGAATGAAGAAACATCAATTGTGAGATTGTCATTGACCACCTAGCAGTTGAGCCGAGCCCACAGTCCCCGCAATACTCCAACCCTAACACTATCTCCACTGTTTGAAACTGAAAGGAGTTGAAGTTAACACTTCCCCAAGTGTATAATCAGAAGCTTCCAAAATTGTACTACCAACTTCTAGAACTAAGAGTTAAAACTTGGCTAAATATCTGTCCAGGTAACAAGTTCTTCCTTTTAACCATGGTAATAAATGAGCCTTGCCAAAGCAAGGCCACCAAAAATTTTGGTTGCCTCCCAAAAAAAAATTGGGAAGAGAGAGAGATACCCAAATCGGGTGAGAGAGAGTTACTTAGCTACCTTATAGCACATACCTCGGGTAACAGCAACACCTTTTACGCTAACGGTGACTAGTTTCAGTGCTTAAATAAAAAATTTTCAATTTATTCAGTAAATAGTCTCATTTTCAGAACATAAACGTGAAAAAAGTTTTAAACTACTCTTTCAGCTTAAATTTACTCTTGAATATCCCTTTTTCTGTCTGGTATATTTACATATATGCAAATTTACTGTGGATTTTACTTCTTCATATATACATGTAAAAAAGAATATCTCTCCAAAACCAAGTTGGCTCAGTGGATAGAGCATCGGTCTGCAGACTGAAGGGTCCCAGGTTCGATTCCGGTCAAGGGTATGAGGCGGCTGGTCGATGTTTGTCTCATTGACGTTTCTAGCTCTCTATCCCTCTCCCTTCTTTTCTGTGGAAAATCAATAAAATATATTTTAAAAAATAATAAAATAAAGCTGTGAAAATCAAATTTCTCAAGAATATATATTAAAAAAAGGGAGGGGCTCAGCGTGGTCTTTGTTAGTTTCCACCATGGCGTACCGCGGCCAGGGCCAGAAGGTGCAGAAGGTGATGGTGCAGCCCATCAACCTCATCTTCAGATACTTGCAAAATAGATCTCGGATTCAGGTGTGGCTTTATGAGCAAGTGAATATGCAGATAGAAGGCTGTATCATTGGTTTTGATGAGTATATGAACCTCATATTAGATGATGCAGAAGAGATTCATTCTAAAACAAAGTCAAGGAAACAACTAGGTCGGATCATGCTGAAAGGAGATAATATTACTCTGCTTCAAAGTGTCTCCACCTAGAAATGACTTAAATGCTAAGTGAGGAGTTACTGAGAAACAATATAGTTTGTGTTGTATGGTGTCCTTTGTTTGGAGAATATGTCTTAACCATTTATTCATATTGGCTTACAATAACCTTAAGTAACTACTAGATGACAATAAATGATGTTGAACTGTTTTTGTTTAAAAAAAAAAAAAAAAGAATATCTCCTACACAAGATTTTATGAGCGCCAAAACCACTTGAAACGGGTTTAGCTCAGTGGATAGAGTGCCAGTTTGCGGACTGAAAGGTCCCAGGTTCAGTTCCAGTCCAGGGCATGTACCTTGGTTGCGAGTACATCCCAGGTTGAAGGTATATAAGAGGCAGCTGATCAATGACTGATGACTCTCATAGATGTTTCTGACACTCTGTCTCTCTCTCATCCTTTATAAAAATTAATAAAACACACTTAAGAAAAAAGAAGAAACTGTCCAGGGAACTATTCTTCCTTTTGACCATGGTAATAAATGAGCCTTGCCAAAGCAAAGCCACCAAAAATTTTGGTTGCCTCCCAAAAAAAAATTGGGAAGAGAGAGAGATACCCAAATCGGGTGAGAGAGAGTTACTTAGCTACCTTATAGCACATACCTCGGGTAACAGCAACTCCTTTTTCGCTAACGGTGACTAGTTTCAGTGCTTGAATAAAAAATTTCAATTTATTCAGTAAATAGTCTCATTTTCAGAACATAAACGTGAAAAAAGTTTTAAACTACTTTTTCAGCTTGAATTTACTCTTGAATATCCCTTTTTCCGTCTAGTGTATTTACATATATGCAAATTTACTGTGGATTTTACTTCTTCATGTATATATATATGTAAAAAAGAATATCTCCTACACAAGATTTAATGAGCGATGAAACCGGTTTAGCTCAGTGGATAGAGCACCGGCCTGCGGACTCAAGGGTCCCAGGTTCGATTCTGGTCAAGGGCATGTAACTTGGTTGCGGGCATATCCCCAGTAGGAGGTGTGCAAGAGGCAGCTGATAGACGTTTCTCTCTCATTGATGTTTCTAACTCTCTATCCCTCTCCCTTCCTCTCTGTAAAAAAAAAAAAATCAATAAAATATATATTTAAAAAATTTTTATGAGCAACTTGTTCTCACAGATACATACATATATGTATGTATGTGGCTGAGAGCCGGAACCACCTGTCCCCAAGGCTCCCAGCAATCCCGCTCTGGCCCTCGCACTCCCTTCGCTCACACGCCCTCACTCCAGACCTGCGGGCCGTCATTCCTATAAATGGCCAACAAGCACAGGGACCTCCTAGTCACCACAGAACTGTAAGTTAAAACCACAGCTGGACATCATTGCACACCTATCAGAATCACTGAAAATTAGATTGAGAACTCCCAGAGTTGTAACGATTTGGAGCAATCAGAGCTCTTAGTGGTGGGAACACAAAATGTCACAACCTCTTTGCAATACTGTCAGTTTTTCTCTTTTTAATTCATCCTAGAGAAACATCAATGTGAGAGCGAAATATCCCGGTGCCCCGGCGTGTGTGCCTGAACAAGAGCCCGTGCCCTTTCCGTGTAAGGGACACCGCTCTGGGCTTGCCTTTTTTTTTTTTTTTTTTTTTTTTTTTTTTTAATCTTTTATAATTTTGTTGTGGGTTTGTGATTTTGTTTGTTTTAGAATTTTAATGGACTTTTAGAGGGGGAGAGGAAGAAACGCCTATTGGCTACCTAGTACACACCCCCTACCCAGATCTGAGCCTTCAACCCAGGCTGTGCCCTGACCAGGAATCGAACCAGCAACCTTTTGGTGCACATGATTTTGCCCAACCAACTTGGCAGCACAGGCCAGGATAATAATAGCCATTTCTTAAAAAGTTGAACTACACCTATCATGCACAACTCGGACATTCCATTTCTATCTAACCCCCCAGTGCCCGCCCCTCCCCCTAATGAAAACAGCACGTTCACACAGCACATGGACACAGAGCTTTAGTAATAAGAGACAAAAATGAGAACTCAACTGTCCATCAAATAGTGAATGGGTAAATGAATGTAGTATACCACTCGCCAATGAAAAGGAACTACTGCCCTAGACAGTTGGCTCAGTGAATAGAGTGCAGCCTGGGACTGAAGGGTCCGGTTCCATGCCCAGGTTACCGGTTCGTTCCCCAGTAGCGGGGAGGCAGCCAATCAGTGATTCTCTCATCATTGATGTTCTCTCTCTCCCTCTCCCTTCCTCTCTGAAATCAGTGTTTATTTAAAAAAGGGAATTACTGCCGAAACTGGTTTGGCTCAGTGGTAGAGCGTCAGTCTGCGGACTGAAAAGTCCCGGGTTCGATTCCGATAAAAGGCATGTACGTCGGTTGCGGGCACATCCTCGGTGGGGGATGTGCAGGAGGCAGCTGGTCGATGTTTCTCTCTCATCGACATTTCTGGCTCTCTATCTCTCTCTCCCTTCCTCTCTGTAAAAAAATCAATAAAATATATTTTAAAATTAAAAAGAATAAAAAAATAAAAAAGGGAATTACTGTTACATGAAAAATCTGGATGACTCTAAAATGGATTATGCCATGTGAAAGCCAGACACAAGAGAAACCAGACATATAATTCTAGAAGCAAATTAATCTGTAGTGAGAGAAAGCTGACCAGTGGTTCCCTATGGCTGAAGAAAGGATTAAAAATGGGGCCTGAGAAAACATGGAGACAATGGAAATGTTCCTTTAAGTTGGTGGTGGCGGTTTCATGAGTATACACAGTATTGTCAAAACTTACCAAATTATACATTTTATTTATTTTTAATATATTTTATTGATTTCCTACAGAGAGGAAGAGAGAGGGATAGAGAGTTAGAAACATCAATGAGAGTCATCAATCAGCTGCCTCTTGCACACCCCCTACTGGGGATGTGCCCGCAACCAAGGTACGTGCCCCTGATCGGAATCAAACCCGGGACCCTTGAGTCCGCAGGCTGACACTCTATCCACCGAGCCAAACCAGTTTCGGCCGAGTTATACATTTTATATGGGTGCAGTTTATTGCATATAAATTATACCTCAATAAAGTTGTTAAAAACAAAACAGAAGAATCAGTATTCTGTTTCAAGCTTCCTTTTCTTCTCATCCGAGCAACTTTACCCCACCCAAGTTATTTACTTCATGTTAATGACCCTCAAAGCCACTTAGTCCTTCTACAAGCAAATCCATATTCATTACTGCCATCCTGCTGTGCACTTTCAGTTGTAGCTCACAATGTCGAAGATTAAATGTATCAGTGCCACCCCCACCAGGAAAGACACCTTTCCTTCCTTTTCTGCAAATCAGAGAACGATCACCCAAGCCAGAAACCTGAACTCGTCCTCTTGCCTAAACATCCCATCTGTCTAAACACATACATACCTCTCTTCAGACCACACTGGATTCCAGACTCCTCCCATCTATCCTGTCACTTTTCCAGAGTTTTAAAAACTTATAACTGATCATTTCATACTCTAAGCCAGTGGTCGGCAAACTCATTAGACAACAGAGCCAAATATCAACAGTACAATGATTGAAATTTCTCTTGAGAGCCAAATTTTTTAAACTTAAACTTCTCCTAACACTTCTTCAAAATAGACTGGCCCAGGCCGTGGTATTTTGTGGAAGAGCCACACTCAAGGGGCCAAAGAGCTACATGTGGCTCGCGAGCCGCAGTTTGCTGACCATGGCTCTAAGCTAAATCAGAGGCTTTCTTTGCCTTGAGATGGAGTTCAGAGTCCTTGTCCCCCTCTTGGGATGGCTGCTCTTCATAGAACACTAACCCCTGCCAGGACCAGTTTGGCTCAACGGATAGAGCGTCGGCTTGGGGACTGAAGGGGCCCGGGTTCGATTCTGGTCAAGGGCATGTACCTTGGTTGCAGGCATATCCCCGGTGGGGGGTGTGCAGGAGGCAGTTGATCGATGACTCTCTCTCATTGATGTTTCTAACTCTCATCTCTCTCCCTTCCTCTCTATACAAAAATCAATAAAATATATTAAAACAAAACAAAACACTAACCCCTAACCTCCAAGTTAAACCTGGAAATAGTCACATCTTCTACCTTAGGTCACCCAGTAGCATCCCTTCTGCCCCAGCACTGCAACTCCTTTTCACCTGGAGTGAGCTGTCTGTCACATTCTTCTGTTAATCTGAGACAGAAAGGCCCAAGGAGGAAGTTCCTTTTTACAAAAAAATATATATATATATATATATATATATATATATATATATATATATATATATATATATTTTTTTTTTTTTTTTTATTGACTTCTGAGAGGGAGAGGGAGAGAAACATCAGCGATGAAAGAGAACCTTAATTGGCTACCTCCTGCACGCCCCCCCGCCCCCCTTAGTCTGGAACCCAAGCATGTGTTCCTACGTGGAATCCAATCTGGGACCCTTCAGTCTGCAGGTTGGTGCTCTATCTACTGAGCCAAATCGGCTAGGGCCCAAGGAGGAAGTTTCAGCCTTCGTCTGTATACACAGTTTTATGTACTCTTTCCGATGATGTAACTCAATTAAAAATTATATCCAAAAAGTAAGAAAAGTATCCTATGGAAAAGTTACAGAAAATAAAAGCTCTTGGCATTTAAATGTAACTGTTTAACAACTGTAAGACGGGAAACCCAAGAATGCAGAGCAGAGGCAAAAAGACAGTATGTACCTACAAATTCAAAAGACAGAGCATCAGAATCCAATTGGTAATAATCCAATTAATATGAGTTCCCAGCTTCACTTTTCTACATAGCACTCATTCTAATACATTATGTAATATACTTCTAAAGTTTAATTGTTGGTCTTCCCTTACTAGAACATAAGCTCCATGAGGGCAAGAATTTATTTTTTATTTTTTAATATATTTTATTGATTTTGTACAGAGAGGAAGGGAGAGAGATAGAAAGTTAGAAACATTGATGAGAGTCATCGATCACCTGCCTCTTGCACACCCCCTATTGGGGATATGCCTGCAACCAAGGTACATGCCCTTGACCGGAATCGAACCTGGGACCCTTCAGTCCCCAAGCTGGACACTCTATCCATTGAGCCAAACTGGTTTCGGCGAGGGCAGGAATTTTTGACTTATTGGCTACCTTCCCAGTGCTTGGAAGACTACTACATACATAGCAAATACATAAGAATTACTTGTTGCATGAATTAGTCCAAAATTCTGAAAGATAAATTTATT